AGTATTCATGATAAGTAGAAGAAGAACAGGAAACTTTTGATGATTATCTACTTATTAGGGATAGGGTTCAAAGAGAGATTAGGGAACTTTCTAGGCATAGAGACTATTTTTCTCTGGTTGTTTTGTCCTACCATGGCTTAGCTTTTATGGAGCAAAAGTCTTATGAAGGATCAATTACTAGCCAGTTAGCTAGAAATTGACAGTCTGCCATGACAGATAAAATGAATTCCTTGATTAACAATCAGACTTGAAAATTAGTTTCCCAGCCTGAAAATAAATCAATTGTTGATTGCAAATGGATTTGTAGTGTGAAAGAGGGTAGTTCAAAGAAACAACACCTTAGATTTAGGGCAAAGCTTGAGGCTAAGGGATGTAGATTATAATGAGATTTTTTTAACATATTGTTAAATACACTACAATTAGAGTAATGTGAAAGCCCAAGATTGACTAACCACGAGGGGGGTGAATTGGTTTTTATAACTTTTTCGAAGATTAATTTCAAGTTTAAAATTAATGTGCTAACAAATGTAATGATTAAGTAAGTTTGCACAACTAAGAACTCAAGTAAAACAATGTAATAATTGCAATGTAAGAGTAATAAGTAAAAGGGATGGAGAATGCAAACGATTTAATTGGAGATTCGATCCAACGCAATGATCTATATTCCCCGTTACCAAGCTCTTTGCCACAAGCAAGACCTTTTCCACTAACTAAGATTAATTTATGGTGCAATTCAACCCTTACAAAGCTTCCGTTGACTTACAAATAAGGATCACCTATTCTTTTATAATGTTAACCTTTGCGGAACCTCAACACAACCCTCAAGTTCACAGATAAAGGATTTACAAATTTGAACTTCTCTTATAGTAGATGATGTATTCAAAGTTGAGTATGACAAGAAAGTAGGCTAACTCTTTAAGAAACAGCAATGAATGAAGTCAAGAATTATGTGAGAAAAACTTTGATGCGTGATATGATTTTTCAAAAGTTAAATCAATCAAAAGTTTTTCTAATATGAATAGATTGATAGAGATAGACAAAGAGTGAAAATTAAATAGATAAGTTCAATACTATCTCACTTTAATGCTATTAGTTGTTGTATATTGAATACTGATTGATCTGAT